AAAGCTTAATAGAACCCGAATGATGAAATCGCATAAGTGAGAAAACGGGTTTCTTTCATTAGATTGATTAGGTTTGTGGACCACAAAAAATTAAATCTTTTGGTTCAAGATTGAGTGTATTACCTGATTTTGATGTTCACAAGTGTAGAAATCGAAGTGGTTTTTACACCCAAGCTTGAATTTTTCCAAAAATACTGCAATAAGTTGAAGATGGTGCAACTCTATCCTTACAGTCTTGAAATCATCTCCACAATTTATAGCAACAAAGGTCTGACCTTTCTCACATTTTTGGGTGAAGTTATTGACCTAAAACAAGTTTGGGATAGTGTTAGAAGAAATGAAAAATAGGTCTGGTCGAGTGGGGTTCAAAACCTAGCCAAAAGGTCTTACAATGGTGGAATTGAGTTCACCTAGTAAGGGAGAACTTGCATGGCTCGATTCCTTCTAATTCCTTTCTATTTATAAACTTTGGGGGATGCAAGATCAATTACCCATTAGCACTCTATTAATTCTGGAACATATTTATCCAATTAAAAGATTATAACTTATATAGTGTAGGATCCATAAGTTAATGGGAGAGCCAACATGTCACATGCTTTATATAAGCTAGTGGGGCTGACCACTTGGAACCTTACCATCCTAAAGGTCCAAGTATTGGTTCATCCCATTATACGATAATTAATAATTAATCACGTGTAATCAATCTATCTACTATAAACAATTGACTCCACAATAAAGGAAGGACTTTTTCTCTCTGTCTTTATGACATGGTGTCACTCCCAACACTATTAGATCTTTCATTGAGGATTCAAATAATCCTACTACCAACAAATTCAGAATTCTAAGGAGGAAGTTGTACAAAGTGTTCTCTATGTCTTAATATAGTAGCATATCCTATCACATTAATCATCAGTCGACATACCATCATTGACTCCAGAAGGATCTTAGTAGTTGGTATATTAAAAACAGACAAGTCCGATGCTCATTCTGCTATCAATATCAAATCTATGGGATTAAAAGAAGCACCTATTTGTTCCACCTGTCAGAAAGTCCACGAACATGTTGGGTTTAATGCTTATTGTAAATACTCATCCTCACAACTTATGTCACAACCCAAAAAACTAAGGCTAACTGCTCCACTACCTTGGGTAGTGTGAGAATGACAATATTGTTAGGATAAATTTCCTCAAGTGTATCTACTGGTTGTGAACTTTTAAGTTTATATTATAACAATCATGTGGTCTCATACATAATACTTATATGAATTAAGGATATTTAATATAACAACCCAATAACACATGAAATAAACATTTTTTATTCATAACAAGAGTATGTACAATACATTAGTTAGAGTGACATATACATTGTATAACATCATTTTCTTTAATTACCTTTTATCTTTTCTACAAACCCAAAACCCATAATTATATCTTGAGCAAAATGGGTTACGTTGACAACCTATGATTTGACTTGCAACTTAGTTTGCCATACAATTTGATTGTTCGCCTACACCTCCACTCTTAATTTCTAATTCTAAAGATAGTGGCTGAGAATTAGAAATTAAGATTGGCTGCAAAACCTCAAGTTGCATTTTAGTTTGTACCCTTGTAACTTAACTATGCTTTGCTTGTACAAAAGATGGTGGTCCATCATTAAGGCTGTGTTTGGTTTAAAGGAAAAAAAGTAGGGAAAGGGAGGTAAATCTTTATAAACCTTGTATAGGTTTCCTTACCTTTTCCTTCCTTTCCCTACCTTTTCCTTCAAACCAAACATAGCCTAAGTGATTCACTCTAAAAGAGTGTTTGTTTTCCAGTAAATGGGGTGGGTAAGTTGGTGGGTCTGATAGAAAAGAAAGGAACCAATGTTCGTATTTTGGTACTAGTGGATCCCACAAAAAAGAAAAATTCCCAAATGACTCATTTACTTGAATAAGTAATGTTGTCCAGAGACTTAGATAAATAACTTTCTTGTTTGTGCAGACAATTGCTAACGCAAAATGGAACAACATTGTCCCTTTAATAATGACCATTTTATGGCAAAAAATGGTCACTGTATAACTTTACTTGGGAAATAAAAGAACATTGGTAAATGCACGTATCTGGGTAAGTATTTCCTAGGAAACACTTGCCTAGATAAGTGCATTTACCCAAATAAATGACTTACCCAAAAAACAAACAAGACCTAAGAGAGCGTAAATACGAAACAAAGTCATTCCCCTATGTTCGTGTTGGTAACCTTGGATCCTAACTACTAAGAGACCTTGAGTACACATAACAATTTTACCAAATTGTAGGGGTGCACATGGAATGGGGCTTGGGTTAGGCCTTAATAAATAAGCTTGGATCCAACACAATTATTAAATGGGCCTTAAATCCAAGCCTAGGTGGGCCAGGTTGACACATTTTATTTTTATTATTATATTATAAAATATCAATAACATAAACGTAGACAATTGTTTTATATTTTAACTGTTTAGATAATTAATAATTATTTATTTTATATACTATTTTTAATAATTTATTTTTCAAGACAAAAATAACAATAATAAATTTTAGTTAGGACTGTCCAACAAACTTATGAAACCGACCAAATAGACCAATCCAACCCAACTCAATCTGATTTGGCCAATTTTCTAGTATTTCCAATCAACTTCAGTTCATCAATTTCCCAACTTGACTAGGTCGAGTTAGTTTCAGTTTGGCCATTTGTCAATTGGCGAAAACCAAACCAATAGATATATACAAGGGCGGAACCAAGCATATTGGTGGGGGGTCCTTGCCCTCACCCCCCCAAACTTTGTGTTAAAAGTAAAAACCTATCTAGCAAGTGAGTGGAGGCAGGGTTTAAAACGTAGTAAAGTGGGTTGGTTCCTAGCCCCCCTCCCCCCAAAACTTGAACTGAAATGTTAAGATCACTCTTTAACGCTCCTCCAACTCCCAAAATTAAAAAAAAAAAAATGTTTATTTTTGTTTAAATCTGTAATAGATCCAAAGCTTTCTGTCCCATATCTTTCAAAATTCCACATCATCTACTCCCTATTTCATTTTCTTGTTTAATATTTGCCCACCCCCCCAAAAAAAAATAAAATTCTTGGCTCCATTATTGGATATATATTAATATTTTATATTTTAAATATGTTTGTTAGTATGGGAAAGTGAGAAAATTCTCATATTTCTTATTCTAAAATATTTTATATTGTAAATTTATTTTTTTACTATTTTAATAGAGAAAATTCCCTAGTACCCCATACTTTGAGCCAAGTGCCACATTAGTCCCCGAACTTTAAAATGCGACAATTCAGTACCCGAACTTTCAAAATGTGCCAACCTAGTACCTGTCGTTAACCAGTCCATTAAGTGGCATCTGAAAAGACACAAATAACCTTTAAGTGTCATCTAATTCTCTTTATCAACCATCCAAACATTGATAACAAATGAACAGTCCTAAATCCTTGCCTCTTCTATTCAAGAAAGTTAGGGTCACCAGAATACCCATTCAGACCTGACCCCAACTTTCTTGAATAGAAGATGCAAGGATTTGGGATTGTTCATTTTTTATCAATGTTTGGATGGTTGATAAAGAGAATTAGATGACACTTGAAGGGCATTTTTGTCTTTTCAAATGCCACTTAACTGTTGGTTAATAGACTGGCTAATGACAGGTGTTGGATTGGCACATTTTGAAAGTTTGGGTACTAAATTGTTGCATTTTAAAGTTCGGGGACCAAAGTGGCACTAGGCCCAAAGTACGGGGTACTAATCAGGAATTTTTCCTTTTTAGTAATATCATTGTAATTTTTAAAATTTAAATATAAATCTTTAAGTTTAAATCTTTTGAACTAATCGACCAAACCAAAAACCGACCCAAACCGATATCAATGTGTTCAACCTACCGTTGACCCGACTGATTAAACCGTTCAAACCGTCACTAGCCTTTATTTAGGTCTGGTTCTGTTGAAACCCACCCTTTGGTAAAAAACCGTTGACTTGGCCAAAACCCATTTGACCCGGTCATTGGGTCACAGGTTACACACTTAATGTATGTGTAGACTTTCGAAGGCCATAATTTTGCACTCCGATGTCTAATTGAAGTAACTTTTTTATTTTAGGCAACTTTCTGAGATCTACGCATCCAAGGTTCCTTGCCATGCTATTTTTGTGAAAAATCCCTTTTTTGGTCCCAATTTGCAATTTTTATTTTTTTTAACATAAGTGAATAACAATGACAGTGTTTTTAGAGTAGTAATAGATGTCCTTTGAAGCTATAGCAAAGAGGACTTCAATTTCAATGTTGTGGTAATCGAACCACTCTTTGTTTGCCCTATTTTATCCTTATTTTTTCCATCTATCTCTTGAAAAAAAATTAAAAATGATATCTCCCCATTTCCTTTTTACCATCAAATAGTAGCAACAACAAAAGGAGAGAGAGATGATGATCATGAAAACAAAAGTGAAATTATAAAAAAAAATTAATGACAAACGGCCCTAATCATTTTCTTAATAGATGACCTATTTGCATTTCGTGGGTCATCTTACAAAATACATATAAATAGTCTTAGAAGAAATGTGGTTTTGAGCCCTGCTATCAATTCTCACCACTAGACCTGTTCATGGGCTGGGTAGCCCGACGACCCGGCCTCGTACAAGCTTGGAGATATTATTAGGCCTACGGGTCGGGCTCGGGCCCAATGATCTAAGGCCAACTTAATTTTGGGTTGGGCTTGGGATTTTATATGAAAGCCCGGCCTGACCCGATAATATTATAATATTATACATATTATCGCCCTAAATTCACTCGATACTCTCCCCCCAACCTGTTTCATTCGATACTCTCCCTCCTCAACCCTTCTACGCAATTGGCAGTGGATACCATCATACCAAAACTAGATAAGTGAGCGACTGAGTGATGATCGGCAACTGGCGAAGCAGTGGATTCATCTCTCTAGCAAGGCGACACCCCATCTCCTATTCTCTAGTAAGTCTTAACCTAATATACATTAACAAGACTAGAGGCGGTGAGCCAGTGACCCCATCTTCAACAACGACGACTAGCGACTGGCGAAGCAGCAAACTCATCTCTCCAGCAAGGCAGTGCCCCATCTCCCATTCTCTAAACCTGATATACTTTAACAGAGTCAGAGGTGGCGTCCTCATCCCTAATAGTGGCTAGCGGCACTTTGGCAAGCGGCAACCAGTGATAGAGAACACCATCAGGTTACTCTCTTTCTCCCCCTCCACTCTAGTTTGCCAATCAGTGACAAGAACACCATCTGATATCATTTTAGTTCGAATTTACATCTGGAATCATTTGGTTTGGTTGATTTTATATCAGATATCATTTTAGTTTGAAATTTATATCTGAAATCATTTTATTTGATTGATTTTTTTATTCATTTTATATCTAAAATCATTTTAGTTTGAAATTTATATCAGAAATCATTTTATTTGATTGATTTTTTGTTCAATTTATATTTGAAATCATTTCAGCTTGAAATTTATATATGAAATCATTCATTTTGTTTGTCTTAAAAATTGGCTTCTGCACAAGGCTTTACAATAGGTGATTTCTTATCTATTATTTGTTCTAATATATTATTACTTATTTCATTGAATCTATTTTAATAGTTTTTTTCCATTTGTATGTAGGGGGTCAAGTTTGTTGGGCAATCCTATAGGATCTTCAAGTTATTAGAAGAGGAGGGATCAAATAGTAGTGATGATGATGAAGAAGGTGTTGAACTTGATGATATGTTTTAGGTATTAAATTACCATATATTTCATTTATTTGTTTGTTAATTGGCATGAAAATGATAATAAATTACTTAGATGGTATGAGCAATGACAATGAGTTTTCCTTTTTTTTTCAAGTTTTGATGGCTCAAGAAGGCAGGATATTCAAGCTTGTTAGTGAATTCAAGAATGATGGATGGCTGGAATATTTTAATTTTGTTGGAACAATATGGTGGATGGTTTTTTTTCAAGAATAGATAGATGGCTAAAAGCCTAAAACATCTTTTGGAACAAGTTTGGTATTGGTTATGTTTTAGTTTGTTATGTTATACTTGTGTCAATGTGTGTTTTCAAGTTACCTTTATGGGAATGGTGATGGAACATTTTATTTTTAGAGGAATGGTATGGTTTTCTATTAATGGATGGTTGGTTTCAAGAATGGATAGATGGCTAAAAGCCTATAATTTTTTTTTTTTTTGGAACAAAGATTGATATTTGTTAATGTTTATGTTTTGTTTTCAGAATTCAGGTTATCCTTTGTTTGGAATTGAAAGAATATATTTAAAACTTAGAATTGACCTTTTTTTCTTTGTTTTACTATTTCAAATAGGGATATCTTTGATTGAATCATAGAAAAATTATAATTTACAACTACGTGTCAAAAAATTGTGTAACAGGTGTTAAAAAAGGGAAAAATTCTTAAACTACCCTTATGGTTTAGGTAATTGTCTAACTCTATCCTTACGGTTTATGTATTGTCTTAAAGTACCCTTATTGTTTCTAAAAATTGACATCACCGTTAAGTACTAACAAAAAACAAAATATCAAATTTGTCCTATTCTTCAAAATTTCAAAATAAAACCCAATTGATAAAAAAAAAAAAAAAATCTTTGGTCTCTTTCTCTTTCTCTCCCATGAGGATCCTCTAATCCTGCTTTTTTCGTTAGTCTCTTTCTCTTTCTCATCAACTACAATTTCAATTTCTTTCTTGATTGGCAACTCTTCTTTATCTTTAGTCAATGCCTCGGCTTTCTTTTTGGCCTCTTCTTCTTCTTCTTCCACCTTCAACTTGGCTTCTTCCTTGACAGTTTCTAGAGCATTGATCAGATTCACCAAGCAAGTAGTGACAGCATCTCCACCGAGAGTCTTAGGCAACAAACACTTGGCGATATCGGTGGGGTCATATTTGTCTCCTCCAACAACCTGCCAGTCATCCCGACAATCTATTGGAGTCCAGGTTCAAATAATTCTTCACCAGAATCTTGAATGCTTCATACGTACAATAAGAGAACAGGAAAAAAAGTAAAAATATAAAAAGAAATCAATTTCAATTTTTATTGAAATCCTGTGTCATGCAAACAAATATTGAAATTTCACTTGAACTATTTTAAAGTTTCATACATAGATCAGATAGTCCAAAAACATCTGATCATGCACTTTTTTGGTCTTAGGTAGAAGGGTGGAAGCCATATTCCGTATCTGACCTCTCCTTATGAGAGCCGGATCCAGTTCTCCACATTGAAGGGAAGCTTGGCACGAGGGTCTGGCCCAAGCATGACCCTTTAAAATTCCAGCCCCATGTCTAAGCTAATTGAGTTACTCGTTGCCCATAGTGCATGGGGTTGGTCTCAGGCCCAGCGGTTGCCTATCATCATTGGTGCAACAAGATTCTCACATCATTGGCACAACATGTGCCTCTCATCATGGTGTTCATCCTTTGTAAGTAAGAGGCACCTCCCATGGACTAGAAAGAGCCACAAAGAGCCCTAACCATGTGCCATGAGGTCAATGATCCAGTGCCACTGACCTTGGTGGAGCCATTCATCGGGCCAACAAATGACCTTCATGCGCACATTAAGCTTGTCTTGGTCGCTCATGGCTTGGATGTCACACGAGTTCCTTCCGCTGCAAATCTACCCCTGTGACAGTTGGTATCAGAGTAGATTAGCCAACTACTATTGTAGTTGGTATCAGAGCCCTCAACCAGCCAGACTAGAGTGGTAATCTCAACAAGCAGCATCGTGGGGTGCGGTCCCTTGGCATGCCCACTCAACAGGGTTTAAGCAATCATCATACATCATGCCTGGCAAGAGGCCAATCACCATGTCCTCATTCCAATGACCCCAAAGCAATGATCATGCAGGGGCAGACACAAGGGCCATCTCTTGGAGGGCATATTGTGGTGGTTTGAGTGGGGGAGTGCCATGCTTCCTCATGGACATCAGTCATTATTCATTTTGGTGAGGTGTGAGTGGTGTGCCTACATCTTGGTTTCATGACGGACGAGCCTTTGTTCCGTCGCTTGTCAGAGGCACTACTAAGGTAGGGACGACAGTCCAAAATTGGTTGGTGTCAACGGTTGGTCAAGGAATACCACTAAGGTGGCAACTTTGCATAAAAAAGGGTCATCGGTTGAAGCTACAATATTGGAATATTAGGAATGTGGATACACTCGCCATTGGAGCATGGCAGCACTACATTGACACAACATCAGAGGACATGCTTAGCACACAAGCCAGAACATTCGCAGCAAAAACATACATCACATAAGTGAGTGCATGTTCGGCAACATCATGGGTAAAAGTTGCCACACTCACATAGAACACGGTCGGATCCTTGATGCAAAACACATTGGGGCCCCCTCAGAACGAAGAGGTAGCCCAAACCAGTGAGGTGAAGTGTAGTTTCAAGGAACAACAAAGCATAAGCCATGGCTAGGTTTGAGTAACCCGAACACTGTGAGGTTAAGCCCACAGACCAGTATGGTGAAAGGGTTCCCAGGACACTATGCCAACAGTAGGAGAAGACCCATCACATCGTGTTCAGTAGCACCACCAAAAAGCTACCAAGAAAACGGTCGAGCCTTGAGGTAAAGAGAACATAGGGCAGACCTCCGCGAAGCATCACACACACATTTCTTCGAGGGCCAAAAACACACATTCAGAAGGCAAAGCCATTGCACAGTTTGAGTAACCCCAATATAGTGGATGAAGTCCAGGCAGGCTGACATGGTGAAATGGTTCCATCCCCTTACACGGACACCAACATAGGCAAGACCCGTGTTGACCAGGCAGCTCTAAACTGGAGTACACGTGGATGTTGCAAGATATAAATGCCCATTCACAAAGAAACCGTTGTAGAGGACAATAACGGGTTGAGTGGGGGAGCCTACACAGTCTAACACAGGCTTAGCCTTGCCTATGCTTGGTGGGCTTACATTGAGTGGCAATACTGTAAATATGCTAGTATGATTTTTTTGGAAAAGTAATGTTTCTTACTGGTAGACCTCCAAAAGCTTCATGTACTCTTTAAGGAGGGGTGGCCGACCTCATTGGATGCCTAACCTTGGCACTCCTAGACCAACATCCCTTGTGGGGTGGCCTTGGTTAATGGCTAGCATGGCTACCAGGCTTCCTTATGGGCATGCACACATACTCATGGGGACAGTTCATGGACCGGCATTGCGCCACGCACATTGAAGGGAGGCTTGGCACGTAGGCCTAGCCCGAATAGGGGTGTCATTTGGATTGGATTTGGTCCAATCTGATCTAGTCCAATGTGAGTCCATTATAAATGGATTAGGTCCAATCCAATCCAATGAATATTTTGGACCATTTTGGATTGGTCTAATACAATGTCTGGACCATCCAATCTGTTCAAATTCATTTTGATTTAGATTGGTTACAACCCAAACCCAGTCCATTGACACCTATATTCTTATCTTATATCAATGGACTAGATATTGGCTTAATCCAACCCAATCCAATGTAAATGTATTACGGCTGGACTAGGTCCTGATCGTGCACGATCTGGATGCTCCTAGCTGTAAGGTAGCTCGAACGTCGGTTGCCAAGTGGATCGCCCAAACTACAAGAGGAAGGGATCAGAGAACCCGGGGTGGCTAACCCGGCGAGGTCGCCTTGATGCTTAAGTTAGTACTCAATAGGTAGATGCGAGCTAGAAATCAACACAATAGAGAGCTAGAATGCACTTAATCGCGCATACCTGAATCTTGGGGGCGGATGCCTTTATATAGCAGGGTCGTCGTGGGCCTCATGAATCCTTTCCGAGAGCTTTGGGCTGAACAAGTAGGAGTTCGTTCCGCACCGATAGGTGGGTAACGTGTTGATTGATAGTGCTTATCGTGTCCATCTGATTCCGGCGGGATGTGGATAAGGCCTATAGTTCCGCAATTTGACCCTGAAAGACTCGGAGGTAGTGTAGTAGGAAAACATCTAGAATCTGTTATGTGTCACCTCGATGTACATGGGTACCGAGGTGCCCCGGATCTGGTGCCGCCCGAAGTGGCTGGGCACCCGAGGTCCCCTGATCTGCTGATGTGGCATCCAATGCTGAGTCATCATCTGGCTGGAAAGTCACATCCACATGTCCTTTGTTCATCAGGTCGGGCTAAATCACCCCTCATTAATTGCCCCCCACTCCTCATGCACGGGTCACGACCCGATGCGAGGAGTTCATGTCAAGCTGAGGTGGATTTGGCTGCACTCCTCTCTAGGCCGAAGTCAGTTGAATGCGCGTTTTGATGTCCACAGGGTTGATAATCCGCGTGACATCCGTGTGTTCCTGGTACACGATCTGGTTTCCTGGTCGAACCGGACGGGTCATTGAGATCAAAACGCGCATGGGGTCCCCTTTTTCCTCATCATGATTTATGCGTTCGTGTTTTGAGCTTGCGTGTCCACTTCCAAGTCGGTGTCACATGTTCTTGTTCTTCGAAGTCATCTCTCTTCTCTTCGGCTTTGGTAACCCTCCTTGGTTCATACTTGTTTTCCTTTGATTACGATGTCGAGTATCAGCACTGGTAGTCTATTGGATGCCAGTAACGACTCAAGTGGGACCGAGGTGGACTCCTTGGGCCAAGAAGTAGAGTCTGGTCCTGCCGAGGTGGGCACCTTGGCACAAGGTTTCGAGCCCAGCTCGCCCGAGGTGGATTCTCAAACAAAAGAGCTGGAAGAATCCGGGAAGGAAGCGTTGAGCTCCCGTAGTTCTCGGAGGTCGGGGCTGGACTGCTTTGGTCCTTCCGTGAAGACTATGGAGAGGTTGCAAACACTGGTTGAGCACTATAAGTTCCCTGAGTATCCCTTTGGAGGGATATCCTTGGAACCATAGTCCTGACGAGGTCGTGGTGCTCAAGGAACAGCTGACAGCCAG